GTTCAGGAGGACCTGTTGTGATAGGACAAGGGGTAATGGTTTTAAAATAGAGGGAGGTAGATTCAGGTTGGATATTAGGAAAAAATTTTTTACCATGAGAGTTGTAGAACACTGGAACAGGTTGCCCAGAGAGGTGGTGGATGCTCCATCCCTGGAGACGTTCAAGGCCAGGTTGGATGAGGCCCTGAGCAACCTGATCCAGTTGGAGATGTCCGTGTTCCTTGCAGGGGGGTTGGACTAGATGACCTTTGAAGGTCCCTTCCAGCCCTAACCATTCTATGATTCTATGATTCTATGATTCAGCTCTGGGGTCCCCAACACAAGAAGGACATGGAGCTGTTGGAGCGAGTCTAGAGGAGGCCACAAAAATGATCTGAGGGCTGGAGCACCTCTTCTCTGAAGATAGGCTGAGAGAGTTGAGGTTGTTCAGCCTGGAGAAGAGAAGGCTCCAGGGAGATATTATAGCAGTCCTCCAGTACCTCAAGGGGGCCTACAAGAAAGCTGGAGAGGGACTTTTTACATGGGTGTATAGTGACAGGACATGGGGCAATGGCTTTAAACAGAAAAAGGATAGATTTAAATTAGATCTAAGGAAGAAATTTTTTACATTGAGGGTGGTGAGGCACTGGAACAGGTTGCCCAGAGAAGTTGTGGCTGGCCCATCCCTGGAAGTGTTCAAGGCCAGGTTGGATGAGGCTTTGAGCAACCTGATCTAGTGGAAGGTGCCCCTGCCCGTGGCAGGGGGGTTGGAACTCGATGAACTGTAAGGTCTCTTCCAAACCAAACCATTCTATGATTCTGTGATTCTAAGACAGCATTGCTTGCTGCCAAAACATATGGCTATGATGATTGGCTGATTTACTTTATGATTTTTGGATGACAAGCCATGGTAATTGCCTCTTGCAATTGAACAGTACAAGACAGTTCTCCACTGAGCACCTTTTCCCTGCTTTGGTGGTACATGTAAACTGCTACATGTGAGATATGTACTGTGTATATTTGATAGTCCTCACTCAGTTGTCCCAGTAAGCTGACCATCCAGCTGTGCTTCTGTCCAACTTTACTGTCCAACATTATAGAGTGTTCCCATGATGTAATAGCTTGAAGAAAGGACTGTTATTCTTAGGCATTTTCACGACATTCTTGAACTTTGACTGGAATTGCTTAGGAGTATATCTGAAGTTGGCTGGGACTTGGCCTGTGTTGAGAACTAGTCATTGAGCAGGAGGGCATGCACATAGGGAAACAGGGGCAAGGGCGTGTTCTTAGCTAGGACAAGATACATATTTTTTTTGCCATCTTACAGAGATTCTGTTGCAATGCAGAAATCTGCCAGTGTTGGTGCTCTTCCAGCCTACTTCTCCCTTATCATATTATTCAGTACTCCAACTGGGCTGTCTTTGCTCTGTCTTTACTATCAGGGTCAGCGAGGCTCCTGAAGATGATCAGTGCAATTTCTCAACCATGAGGTGCACAAAATTGTCAATCGTAGAATCATAGAATATCTCAAGCTGGAAGGGATCCATTAGGATCATTGAGTCCAAATCCCTGCTCTTTGCAGGACTACCTAAAACTAAATCATATGACTGAGTGTGTTGTCCAGACACTCCCTGAACTCTGACAGGCTTGGTGCTGTGACCAGTTCTCTGGGGAGCCTGTTCCAGTGACCAACCACCCTCTCAGTGAAGAACCTTGTCCTATGTCCAAACTTCCCCTGATGCAGCTTCATTCCTTTTCCTCATGTCATTATATTTGAGGATTGTTGATATATTTGGGGACCTTGTTGCAGGGTATCTCTTGTAGTGTTCTTGACCATAGGGTCCTTCCCAAGATTTATACCTGTAAAGGTTACAGTGGGTGCATGACTGATCTCTTTCCTTTACTACTAGATGGGGAAAGCAGTATTCCATACCTAACAGTCCATCTTCTCCCAGGATCGCTGCATGCAACACTGGCTGGCTGGGCTTGACCTGTCAGGGAAGACCTGTTCTATCTTCCTCTCATTTCTGAAGAAAGGGCATCTTTCTTCAGGGACTCCTTCTAATACAGGACTTCCTTCTCTTGGTGCTGCTTCTTCAGGAGAGGCAGATGATACTCTTTCATCCCTCTTAATGTCCAAGCACAGACAAGTTGTCTGTGCATATCAGAATGTGGAGAATACAGAAAACACTGAAGAGTATGTTCGCTTTTCACAGAGACTCTTTTGCAGGTCTCCGTACAGCAAGCATGCATGCAGGGAATAGTGAAAGGAAGCAGTGAGATGAGATAAACCCTTTGATAAGTGTCTACTCTGCATCAGAATATGACAGATGAATCTCACTCAGAACATGTATTTCATTATGAAACAATGTTTGATTTCTATAGAAGGCAGTTAAATATAAGTACATCAACAGAAGTAAAACATTTCTTGATATAAGTACATCAACAGAAGTAAAACATCCAACATTGATGGTTGCTGCACCTCTTACATTCTAAACTTTTATGTTCATCAATTTTTATGTTAAAAAAATTTCCTTATTGTCTGAAAAGGTGATTTAAGCAAACTTTGTGTATCCTTTCTTTTAAACTGAATCAACCCATTATCGCTTGTAATGATTATCTTGCACTTAAAAATTTGCTTCTAATATTGCTACTTAGCAAAATCAATGGCAGATTGTCACCTCTTCTTGTTTCACAAACAGCTTACTGAAGAAATACAAAACCACAAAATCGTGTTTGATCTTCAGTCTGTATGAGAGAAGTCAACATGAAAATACAATATCCAGAACTATTTTTCTTTTTTATGATATAGAAATACCTATCCATATTCAAATGCAATCTCTGGTAAGTGTAGCAGACTTCCCTGATACCATACTAATACCTCAGTAGAAACTGTTGTCGTTCTTGAAAGTGATTTTCACTTAAACTCATTCTTTTTGTCTGTGACATTACTTCTTTACACTCTATTGTATCTATAATGAAAAAAACAACACACTCCATCACCTTTATCTGTCTTAATAAATGTTCGGTTATCTTTCAGTTGCCCATAAAATACTCAGTTTTACCTATGCCTGGGACTGTGCAGCCTTAGCTGTTCTTCCTTAGTCTTTGAACTCTGGATTCTTGTCACTCACCCCATCTGTGAGCTGGCTATTGCTTTGTGCCAAGTATGAAACAAAACAGCTTCAGAAAAAGAGAGTGGGTATATCTCTTCACACCACTATCTCACCACATTGGTTTGACTGCTTGTTAATGCTCGGAGTGAATTTCAGTCTCTCGAATCAAAGTAGAAACCCTTAAGTCTAACCAAATAAACATAATTTCTCAATAACAATAATCTCTTTTACTTTTTTCCCCCTAAGAATTCATCAGAATAACTTGGAAGAATGTAATCTTAGTCTATCGAAGAAATGCATACTTCTCATTGCAAGATAAATAGCGAAGCCATATAATTGTTATTATTCCTAATGCATTTTTAAATATGCAAATGTAAAAATTTATTGCTGTTTTGTACATTTTGTATACTTTTAAACGTGAACAAGTACATGTCTACATGTACTCCAAAAGTAATGAACACTAGAATAAATAAATAAAGCAGGCTAATCACAGTTCATATGCAAAGGTCTCTACTCTCTTTATTGCCTAGACATAAATGACAGTTACAGAAGAAAGCAACACAGAGATTTACATTTTATGCATCTCTCAGGTCACTTTTTAGTCTTGAAACCCTCATTCCTCCTCTTCTACCTTCTTATGAAACTCCCGGCTCTTCGCTCGGAGCTTGTTGACCTGCGACTCTGCAATGTCAGCCCGCTCCTCGGCTTCCTCCAGCTCGTGCTGGATCTTGCGGAACTTGGAGAGGTTGACATTGGACAGCTCCTCCTGTGCGGGCAGAGGGAGTTGTGAAAAAAACAGGCAGCGTGTGGATATTAAATATCTGAAAACTAGGCAAACAAAAATTGAAATAGCACAGCTGGGCAAGCAGGGCAGGTTCAAAACCAAGGTAAGAAGCTGCTCAGGGAAATAAGTGTGCCAGAACAGAAAAGAACATCAGAGAGTCAAAAGGCCGTGGCCACATTACACACAGCACAGTCTAGGCAGAGTTCATGGCAGTCCTGGATAGGCAGATTAACAGCTGCTTTTGACACCCAGGGTAGGGTAGGAAGGAAGAAATAGAGGCGGGAAGAGAGGCTTAGGGAAAAAAAAATAGACATGGGAAAGTATAGTTCCTCCCCAAACCAGCAATTCTTACTCTTACATTCTCCCTTGTCTTGTAGCAGCAAACGCATCAAACAGTTCAGGTTTCAAAATGTTGGACAGAAGAAAACATCCACACAGAATTCCACCTCAACCAGAAGGAAGTCTGGCCTTTGTCAGAGTGGTACTTACAGCTTCCTCAGCTTGCCTCTTGTAGGACTTCACTTTCATTTGCAGCTTGTCCACCAGATCCTGCAGCCTGAGAACATTCTCTTCCTCAGACTACAAAAAATGGCAAGTAATAGAAACACTTGTTTGCCTCTTTCTCTAAAATTCATAAATGTGAAACAGAAGGACTAACATTCCTTATGGAGCATTGCTGTCTAGAAAGACAGAGGACAAAATCCTGTTTACTGTGTCCCTCTGGAAGGCAATGTGCAAACATTTTGACTTCCTGGAGGAAGACTGTGTTAACACAAAGAATCCTCTGGCATTACCTGGTAGGTCAGCTCCTTCACCCTCCTCTCGTACTTGCGCACACCCTTCACGGCTTCAGCGCCGCGCTTCTGCTCAGCACCCCCCTCCCCTTCCAGCTCCCGCACCTGCAACAAGAAGCCCATTTTTGGAGCTTCCCTGGTGGTTATTTATGTGACACGCTCAATCATGCCCAAACAAAAGGCCTACGCACTCTGGCCTCCAGCTTCTGGATTTGCTTCTTGCCTCCCTTCAGAGCCAACTGCTCAGCCTCATCCAGACGGTGCTGCAGGTCCTTCACTGTCTGGTCCAGGTTCTTCTTCATCCTCTCCAGGTGAGCACTGGTGTCCTGCTCCTTCTTCAGCTCTTCTGCCATCATGGCTGCCTGGAAAGCAAAGGATCAAAGCCATTTTGGGGCTGGAGACATTTAGGGGGAGAATGTATCCACTATCAGTGGTGAAAGGAGTCCCCAACTCACATCTGTGATGGCCTTCTTGGCCTTCTCTTCAGCGTTGCGGGCTTCCTGGATCGTATCCTCCATTTCACTCTGAATTTGGGAAATGTCTGTTTCCAGCTTCTTCTTGGTGTTGATCAAGCTGGTGTTCTGTTTAAAAGCATCAAGATCCCAATTTTGCTTTTGTTAGCTCGCAATATCATATAATTACATTGCATAAATATTGGGTTTTTATATTAACTGTGCCATCAGGTCATATGGGATTCTGTTCTAAAGGAGCTCCTGTGGTAGCTGTTAGTTTCTCAGCTGTGATGTGCTTCAGTAGCAGAGAAGGACTTTAGACTTACAAAAAAAAAAAAAAGACATAATCTTTCCTTCTCATTTTCTATCTAGTGACAGTAAAATTTTAAATGGTGCTACAGAATAATTATAAAGACATTGTTAAATGATGTGAATGACAGGATCAGTGTGTTCCTAATGATCAACCTAAGTTTGACTTTACAGTCTGAAGTGCAGATGTGAAAGCTGTTCAACTCATTTAAGTCATAGAGTAAGAACTTCACATATCTCTCTGAATTTAGTACTTTTAAGGCATCTGCACTGTAGTTTTAGTGGAATTCATATTATATCAGCAGCTGAAAATCACTTTTAATATTTATTTTCCATACTGTGAAAATTACAATGCATTTTACAAAATACTGTTGCAGTTCAGCCAGTCTTCAGTTATTTTGTATGTATGGAGCAAAAGTATAAATACTGAATATATTTATACACTGACCTGGGTATGGAGGAGCTGCACACGCTCACTTGCATCCAGCAGCTCCTGCTCAGCCACTTTCCTCGACCGCTCCGTCTGCTCCAGGGCTGCCCGGAGCTCCTCAACTTCAGCCTGCAGCAGGTTTGCTCTGCGCTCCACCATGGCCACTTGCTCCTTCAGGTCTTCCTGTGACCTGAGAGCATCATCCAAGTGTATTTGTGTATCCTAGAAAGAGAGACAAGACAGACTGTGAGGTGTATTTTTCCTATTTTCTGTTTTTGCATCAGTGTAGAAACGATAGCATAGTAGAACAGGAAAACTTTTAGTTCTTTCAGAAATGAGCGAGCTCCTGTTTCGTTGTCTCATACCTTCAGCACTGCTTGTGCATTTCTCAGGTTCTTTTGTGCCTCTGCAGCCTGGCGGTTGGCATGGCTCAGCTGGATCTCCATTTCATTCAGGTCTCCCTCCATCTTCTTCTTCAGCCGCAGGGCTTCCTTCCTGCTCCTGATCTCAGTGCAAGGACTCCACAACTCGGAGGTGGTTTCTCTTCATCTGGTCAATCTCCTCATCTTTCTCTGCTATCTTCCTGTCAATCTCCGACTTCACCTGGTTTAGCTCAAGTTGGAGGCGCAGGATCTTCCCCTCTTCATGTTCCAGGGAGGCCTGGACAAGTGCACACAAACATTTGTAATGTTGATAAAACTGCTCGCGTTCTAGGTAATTACAGACTATTTCAGGAAATCTCATCTGGTTGCATGCCCCAGCCAGAACAGAGGGGGACCAAATATTTTTCAGCCATATTTTCCCATTGCTTCGATTTTTAGTGCAGACATCATGAAAAAATATGTTAATTATATAAATAACAATATCAGTAACTTTATATGAACTATTCTCTTGAAGAATAATGTACAGCATGAGGTCTGAGACTGCAGAAAAGGAAAAAAAAAGGATTCCTGTATATACAAAGACTTTAATGGTATCCAAAATCCCCTGCTTCCTGTGCCTGGAGTTTATTCTCAATGTATCTAATTTCATAAATGGTATCCGAGGTTGCTAAACCTTGCTGTAAGTAAACAATTAAAAACAGAAGGCTGTACCTCAGCTTCCTCCAGGGAGGCTTGGAGTTCAGATTTCTCCTGCTCAATCTGTTTCTTGACTTTCTCCAGCTCATGAATCGCCTTTCCTCCCTCGGCAATCTGCTCCGTGAGGTCAGCAATCTCCTCTGTGGGAACAAAGACCAATGGCATGGTCAGACACAAAGATGAACGAGAAGGGCCCTGACACACCAAGGTGATGGGCATCTTTGCAGACCTACAGGCACCCGGGGAGAGCGGTGGGTAGTGGTGGGTTGTGAGAAAGCCCTGCCAGGAGCAGAGGGCCAGGGACTTACGTTGCAAGTTCTTGTTCTCACGCTTCAGTGTTTCCAGGTGGTCCAAGGACTCCTCATAGG